TATTGAAGGCCCGCCTCGAGGCAACTTTTTCCTGGGTAATTTGCTCGAAATTCGCAGGAGAAGGCTTGTTGATGGCAACAATATACATCAAACATTGGCCGACTGGTCGATTGAATATCGCCCTATGTTTGTCATATGGTTCTTTCATGTCCCTCTAATCGTCATCAGCGACGCCGATATTGCTCGTCAGGTGCTTGTCGTTAAGAATCTACCTAAGGATCATTTTGGTTATAAGAGATTTCAATATGTATACGGACAACGATTCCTTGGAAGTGGCCTTTTCTCGGACTTGAATCGTCTCACTTGGGAGACGAAGCGACGTACGTTTACACCGTTGTTCCATCGAAACAAGCTGTTCGATGGGTTTCCAACATTAAATTCCTGCTGCGATAATTTCCTCAGCAGGCTGGAAAAGTATGCCGACGGAAAAACCGAGATCTCCCTAGCTGACGAATTCTTGCTGGTAACTTTGGAGACTATTCTAAAGGTTGGTTTCAGTCACTATAGGGCTAAATTGCAGAATACCCGTCCACTAGTTATATCATATCATGTAGCCACTATTTCACTGGATACGCGGATACGCGGTCAGAACTTGTTATAGTATAATACTATTTCACTGGATATATACGCGGCCATGCAGAACTTGTTAATATATATTTATTCGTATTCGATTAATAGGCCTAATAAATAGAGTGATAGATCAAATTCTCATGTTACAGGTAGCTCTATTTTAGTGGATACGCGGATACGTGGATACGCAGTCAATTTTATATAGTTTAGCGATCAAAAATGGTCAGCGGATAAAATAACTGGTTGACTGCGTATCCACGTTCCACTAAAATATAGAGCTATCTATATACCATGAGAATTTGATCTATTAATGCTAAACTAACTGTATTCCTCGTTCTCAAAATAAAACTCACTGCGTATCCACGTATCCGCGTTTCCACCAAAATATTGAGTAACTGTATGCCTCGTTCTCAAAATAAAACCTAATGTGATTGGTCAGCTGATTAAAACATCGTATTGCCCCTTTTGACCTACATTATTGACCTACAGTATATTGCATCAACCTATCCTCATCAACCTATCCTCATCCCAATATCCTCATTTAACCTACAGATGACTCTGGCTTGAAGTTTCGTAATAGGACGTTAAAACAGGGACGTAGTGAAGCATCTGAAGAATGTGGGGGAGCGGGGTGTCGGAGGATTTTGCTGAAATTTGAACTGCGATGTTAAAAATTTACCTGAAGTGTAATAATTATAATAGAGCTTTTTCTGATTTATTTCCATAGTTATACTAAGTTTCCGAAGAAAAGAGAGGCCTGTGGGTCCTCGCCCAGAAAATGTTTACATTTTTGAAGCTCCAGGACTGCATTTCTGGCGTTTTCTAAACCAAATTCACAAAGGAATTGGATCTAAATCGACTGTATTTTCCAAAAATGGATGTTTTCACAAAATTAACGCCTTTACTACGCGAATTTTACCTGAAAATTCAAATTTTAGTGATGAATTTAAGCTGATTTTTACCTTAGTTTCACAGCCAAGGGGGGGGGGGGGATTACACCCCCACACCCCTGCTCGCTACGTCCCTGAGTCTGGACGTAATTTGTCGACACTGGTGCAAGGTGTACATTTTGGAATATTTGAAACCCAAAAATCTTCCCAGTCCGCTTTTGACTCTGGAGTTTTGAAATTATGAATACTAGATTAGGTGGATAATATATCCAAGTGAGCATACATATACACTATTTAAGACCTAACCAGGAACGGTTGCGAAACATACAACACTAGGCCCTCTGGCAAGAATCGAATCTGCGCGGCCCAGAACTGTTCTGGTTGAAAAGTTGAGGTAGTCGTACTCCTCTTTTGTCATGCAAATAACCGTGCACAAGTACTTGGGTTAATAGTTTCTCTTTGGTATAGTAATCATTGGATAAATAACGAACGGTGTGCTCTATAACATTAAAAATTTTCCTTTTTAAGTGGTCGTGTAATTTGGAGATGAATAATGATGATCGCCTTGTATTTGAAAAGAACTTCAAAAATGCTTTACATGGCATTTCACTAAGCTTTCAAAGTCCAGCGACCGCATACATGCCGTGGTCAAATTTAAGACGAAGATGTGTGGAAGGCGCTCGCCTTACTAGGGTAACTGCAAAAAGTGTTGTGGAAATGCGACAGAAGGATATAGATGCTGGTAAGGAGATACCTGAAGATGCACTATCGTATGTTTTGAAATTGAAAGAAGCTTTGCCCAATTGCGACATTGAAGACTTGGTGGATATGGTCGTTACAGTTGTGTTCGGAGGTAAAATTCTTGTGTCTTTTTGTCTTGCACGTTCGAAAATTATTAGGGAGTAGTTCAACTGTTTCTGTATCAGATTCATGTGCGGAACCTCCCCCCAGCTTATTGTAATATTTACTCTATCAAAATGTAACTTATTTCAGGAATGGACACTACAGGCAACAATCTGTGTTTCACCGCGCTCTCCATAGGCCTAAACCCAGATGTCGAAAATAGGTGTGTATACTTAGCCATTATGTGATTTATTTTATAAATAGTCATTTCTGAGAAGAAAATCTGTTAGTATAAGTATGGGGCGAAATTATAAAATTCCTGGGGTCGGGCGTATTCACATGCAGTATGTATTACGAAACATGTTGTTTGCACCGATTATCCGGAATTACTGATGGAAATTTTGGTATCTGCCGAACTGTGTAGTTTTTCGGCAAAAGTATAGCTATATATATCACATAGGCTATGTGCAAGTTGGACCAGTTGAACTCGAAACTATATATTCACATCGCATAAATTGAATCGAACTCGACCTACTAAAGTCGTAAAGTGAGTTTTCTCATTTTTCCTCTTGTGTAAATAACAAAGTCACACATAAACAATCAAAACAAACTTAGTACCCTATACTTCAGGATTTCCCATATTATATCAATTCTTATAATGCATGTTTAAAAATGAAAAATGTTTTACAATAAAATTTATCGTCTGAGTTTCTGAGACGATGTTCGAAGCTTTCTTGCATGGTTTTTAAATTCAGTTTGCGTCCTTCATTCGTGGCAAAGAGTCATATTTTTGAAATCAGTAGGTGTAAAATTGCTCAAAATGTTTAGTTAGCAACGAATAATTTCATATCATAATGGACATCGTCAGACGAAGTGTGGATGCAAATCCGAGTCCGAGTCAGTCCCGAGCCCGAGTCAACTGAATGACCGAGTCGCGTAAAAAAAGGACGAAAAGTGAAGAAAAATCACAGTCGAATAAGGTTAGCAGTAGGTTTAGGGTTAGGGTACTAAGTCATTTTATCGACAAAGACAGTTAAACAGGGAGTCGGACATTTGTCTCGAACTCGGATTTGAGTCAGTCAGTAACCGACAAACTCCGAAATTGAATAAAATTCACATTTGAATAGGGTTAGGGTAGGTTAGGAGTGGGATGATGGTTAGGATTAGGGTACTAAGTCATTGAACTGCAAAGATCATTGATTAAACAATGACTCGGACATTTGACTCGGGCTCGGATTTGACTCGGTTAACCGACAAACTCTGGATGCATGTGCTCGTCCAATTATTTCATAATTCTTTTATTAATATTTTTCACAGCTGTTTGAGTTATTTATATATTAAACTTGGTTTTATGTTTAGAAGTCGACCTAAATAGATAACAAGTTGATTGTTAGCTGTTATTATTATTAGACAATTCCAAAATGTGCTGGCTGACAGCGAAAGTTACTTATTTGCAATGAAAATATAAATTTTCCGTCTCGATCACCTTATGTTATTGTTTCGTGTGCACTCAAGCAAATTGTGGAAGTTATACTTTTGCCTAATGGAAGAAACTCGACTTTCGTTTCCAGGCTTAGAAAGGAAATTGACACTGTAATCGGTGAATCAGAAGAGATTACAGCGAAAGATATTATGTCTATGCAATATCTTACTCAAGTGGTGAAAGAATCCCTGCGTCTACATCCACCAACACCCGCCCTAACAAGAAGAACTGATAAAGATACCATGATCGGCAGCGTAATGATTCCCGGTGATACACCTATCATGGTGAACCCATATGTCATCCAGACCCACCCTGATTATTGGGAAGATCCGCATGATTTTAAACCGGAGAGATTTGCTTCAGTTGAAAACCTCCATCCATATGCATACTTTCCGTTTTCACTCGGTCCACGGCGCTGCATTGCACCTCAGCTTGCAGATTTGCAGGTGAAATTGGTTATTGCCCGTCTATTGAAAAGGTTCAAATTTAAACTGTTGCCAGGTCAAACCCTGAAGCTTGCTGAAAATATTTCGTTCGGTCCGGTTGGAACTGTTCGTTGCACACTAGCATTTGCAGATCAACACTAGACTAAACAGATAAAAAATCTTCAAATTTAAATGAAAAACTTTTATAAGTATGCTGGTTAGATGCTCATTCATCGATTGTACCTTTCAAATTTACCAAGTTTGACTTTAACTTACTATAGCTTTTCACGTACTATTTAAAACATGAGCAGCAGACTGTTTTTTTCAGATATGTTTTTTCAGATATGTCTTTTCAGATATGTTTTTTCAGATATTCATATATAAATCTTAGATCTCATAAAACACGCACTGCGATGTTTTAAATTGCTTCAAAAACGATCGATCTAGTGTGTTCATTGGCAAAGTAATACGTTGTGTAAGTCGAGAAAATCAAAACTAAAGTTTATGTAAATCAAGGGAAGTCTCTATCACATATAAAGATACGACACGCTTATGATTTTTCTTTGTGTTTTCCTCATTAACTATTAAGTTGGCCTCTTTTCTCCCGTCTTTTAGCAAGTCTTTCGGCTTTTTTTCTCAACAAGCTTTTAAAATTTACAAATTCTTGCAAAAATGAAGTAATATTTACAAGAAATGTTTGTTATTTTGCTGTCGTCGTGCAGTCGTAAGTTGTAATGCAAATTTTAAATTTGACGCATCAGTGTTCGCTATTCATGACAATCCGCTATGTTTTGAGATCAGTGAGCATGACCACCCACCATACCAAGCACGCACGGTAAACGGTGAACCATGCATAGCCATGCGCCCACGATTATTAACGAACATTAGACTTCGCTAAGGCTTCCCCTTTCCCCGGGGGATGAATAGCTGTGCGGAGTTAGTACCCGCGCTTACGCCCGGAACAGCGGGGTAATTTGCGGGGTAATTTGCATGCAGTAGTTTGTATAGGAAATTACACGGTTCGAGAAGTATTAATGAAAAATCGCACGCATGTTTGGCGAAATATTTATAATACAGCGAGTGCGTAGCATGCACGAGCGGTATTATAAACATTTCACCAAATACAAGTGTGATTTTTTCATTAATACTTCGAGAACAAGTGTAATTACTCCGCCTGCGTATGCGCAGTGCGGAGTCTAAAAATGCCTGAGTCTGTTGTTGGTTGTCGACTGTCGTCAGTGTCACAAACAGGCTCCTTGATAAATGTGTACATTCCATGATATTTATATACTTTCTATTGACATTTGTGGATAATGTTATACGATTTGGCAGCGCAATGCGCATGCTTACAGCTGTGCTTACAGTATTTTTCTAAACTGCGAACTGCGAAACGGTCTTGTGCGATGAAAAATACTAAACGATAAAAAATACTAAACGATGAAAAATACTAAAAAGATGGATGTCAAGACAAAGCTTCCAGACTCAACTGAGGTAAGGGATACTAAACATTCTAATTTTGGTAGTACATGCTGCATTTTGGCAACAAGAAATTCTTTAAAGTCATAAATATAAATAAAAATATTAACTCCTACTGTATGTCGTAATGTCGATCTTATATTCTTGACTAGCAAAATATATATATTCTTGTGTGAAAGGTCCCTACAATGTTCTGAAGAGTTTAGGCTATGTAGTGTTGAGGTTATCGGCTTATTAAATATATTTCAATGTTTTGAAGAGTTTAGGCAATGTAGTATTGAAGCTGTCGTGTTTATAATTTACTATACACGTTCAGTACGCAACTACCGGAAACGGCAGCCATGTGGTAGTATTAAGACAAAGAATCTCATTATTTTTTACTGAATTTCGCACATTTTTTAATTCTCAAGGGATTGGTTGCAAGACAAGACTATAATCTATGATATATAGTCATGTTAACAAATAACAGAAACGTCAGCTTCTTGAACTCACAGCCAGCTTGGGTTTGCTTGCTTTGCTCTTTCTACTGCCCTTGTGTGTTACTGTCGTTCCAATTGAAGTGTTCCTCAAATGTTGATTAAATACATTACCTCAGGCTGACCAATTCATTTCATCAAGTTTCTCGAGATATTCATACACTTCCTGTGAAAGAGCCAATTCCAAGAATTTGATCATTTCATTCACTTCCTTTCTATTTATGATTGGTTAGTTGCACAAACAACAAAGGTGATTGGTGCATTCAAACTATTCAACAGGAAGTTTACAATTATACTAGGAATTGTATCAATATCTCGAGGAACTTGATCAAATGAATTGGTCAGCCCGAGGTAATGCATTGAATCAATATTTGAGGAACACTTCAATTGGAATGACAGTAATAGATACTATGTGTTGTGTAATGTATTTAATTCAACCCTACTAGGACTCTGGGAGGAATACCTACCAAGCCACTCAAACATGCTTTTTGGGCCTCTATTATTACAATGATGGGCCAAACAGAATTGGTGTGTCAGAATTAATATCCTATTTCTGTCTCTTATAGGTTATGGCACTTTCTTATGAAAATTCAAAGAAGTGTGTAAATGCCATTGCTCCTTTGAACGCCAAGTTAACTTTGAATGCAATGAATGCCAACTTAACCTTGAATGCCATGAATGCCAACTTATCTTTGAATGCTATGAACACCAACTTGTCTTTGAATGCTTATATTTGGCTTCACTTTCCCGTCGCACCCCACATTGTCCCCATTTTCTCCGCAGGCCGGCAGGCGGAGTGAACGCCTGAGTAGGCGTCTTGTTACCTATTAATATCATTTTACAGTCAATTTTACACGAGCAATCAATGATAAGAAACATTGTATTTGTATTCAGGCGAGCACAGCGATATACGCGCCTCTGCATGTGGTCGATTTTTGAGAGCACTTTCTGACATTAATTTTCAATTCATACCTGTAAAAACTGTGAATAATCTTTATTTCTTCTTTTTTCTTCGTTATGAAAGCATAAATAAGAGCTCAATGTAAAATAAGAGCTCAGAAAATGTACATTTTCAAGTTGTTTTAATAACTTGTTTATTGTGTTGACATTTTTTGTTTAAAATAAATACACGCATGATCCACGCGTGCTCGTATCCGTGCCGATTAATCTTTAATCGGCACACTGTGCCGATCGGTTTTTAACCAATCAGAATCGTCGACAGTAAATTGACTAAAATGATATTAGTTCATTTATTGAGTTAACCTCTTTTGTTTGCCTGACCTTTTCCCGCAATACCCACTCTATCCGAATTATACTCCAATGTAGGCATACGCAGAAGAGAATGTACCGCATTATTAATTATTATACTTAATAATTAAAACTTTCCTGAAATATGTTTGAAATGTGACCAAAACTTCACACTACAGTCTCCAGTCTACACGAACCTAGTAGCGAATCATGAAGTAGAATTGAAAGAAGAACACATTTTTCGACATGTCCAAGAATATATATTTTTGTTTCCAACTTTATCCTGTAACAATTGTCATTGACGTTTTTTTATGGAGAAACCGAGCGTGCTATATAGTATTAAAATAGAAGAATTTGCTGATTGTTTGCTGTCGGGGTTATTATAATCATCGATCGTTCAGACATCTTGATGCTTCCAATCAGCATAAACTTTACAAAATTTAATATATTTCAGGGTCCAATTAAAATTAGGATCACTAATTGATCGTTACGGGAATAATATAATTCGACAGATTCAGTGTTATTTGAGCTTTTTCATTAATTATTGAACATGAAATTATATTTGTAATGTATATACGAGTTAAAGCATGTTTGGTTGTTTGAATTAAGAAAACATTGATTGTACTTTGGATAAGTTTTTGAACATTACCAATTTTAAGATAATTATAGGGTCAGTGAAAATATTTTGAACTAAACAGTGACGCGCGGGTACAATGTCACCAGACACTAAAATATACTAGTACAGAAATAATTTTATCTATCGTAAAACTATAATTTTAGAATAATAATACTGTATATACTTGATGCTTTTGGGAAGATTGATAAAATCAATGATCTATTTCTAGCTATATCGTCGTTAATTTTTACTTCTATTCATATGTTAAATCCTGAGTTGAGTATATCTTTCATGATCATAAAAAGCAAACATGTTTTAGGAGTATCAACACAGGGTTCGAATTAACAGATAGCGAATCGCGATTCGCTATCCGTTTTTGGGATTTCGCTACTCATTTTGCTATACAGTAATATAAAAAAAAATCACTATTCAACCTGAGAAGATTTCACATGTGAAAAAGTGAAACGGATAACATTGGAAACATTTGTTTTCAAACAATTCTTTGTGTATTTTAGGGTGAAACATTCTCTCATTTGCGCTGATATTTCTGAATAGACAATAGAATTCTGTTTCGTTTCCTAATGGCCTCAAGCTGTGCTTTGATTTAATGTTTTAATATGATAGGCTGACAGTATAAAAATGTGTCAAAATCCACTTAGGAAAGGTCAAATGTCATGTTACTTGTTCACGCAACTACAATCACATTTGAATTTTCACAATCACTTGGGTTTAAAACTCAAATCAAACTGTTTAATAACTTTCTAGTTTAATTTATTATGTGTAGTATGCGATGTACGATGTTTTGAGCTTTGCCATATTTACTTTATGTACAGTATTTTGTTTGTACTTTACATGTAATTTGCTCTAACTTTGATTCCAGCTCTAGGTAGGTCTTTTAACCCTCAAAATTTTGTCTAAAATGATCATGTTTTGTGATTAGCGTTCAAAACAAAAATGATCATTGTTTGTGACTTGTTCTTTAGAAAGACGATTTCTATAGTTTTCTTCATTGTTATAATCAACCAACCACGAGCCTGGATAGTATAGTATAGCTAGATGATGACCCAATTTTGATCTAGACAAGAAGAACGAAACCATTACCATAGCTGGAAAGCGCATCTTAGGATGAGTAAAATTGCAAAGTTTGGTCGCGAATTGTTGTACAATGAGGAAAATATAGCCCTGTGAAGTTTGCAAATTATGTATATACTTGCATTACGCGCGGGAAAAATAACCATTTTTCAGCCGAAAGTGGTTATTTTTACAGCGCACAATACAGATATATACAAAATTTGCGAACTTCATAGGGCTATATTTTCTTCATTTTACAACATTTAGCAACCAATCTTCGCAGTTTTACTCATTCTAAGATGCTCTTTCTAGCTGTGATGTTGGATTTCGTTCTTCTTGCCTTGATCACAATTTAGTCTATAGCTGGAATCACCCATTAAACTAGTCTTTTAGATATTGCGCGAATTTTTACGGGTGATAATTGGAAATTGGAATTATTTAATTTTACATTGTCGTTTTCTCACTTTTCTGTGTCGTTAATCTTACAAGTTACAACTACCAAAAAAATAAAGACAGCTTAATCTTTCTTATTATAACAGCCTTTCTGGTTGAAGATCGAATGCTTATTTTAATAATCCTTATTCCTTTTCACAGTGATCGCATAGTAGAAATTTGCTATTCACTTTTTATTGCATGAGTCAATGGGTAGAAATTCGCTATTCACTTTTAAATATTTAATTCGAACCCTGTATCAACAACTATTTCGAACTTATTTTCCTATTTCATTTTGGAGATATTCCTTGGCCATGCAGCAGTGCAAGTCATGCATATACATGAATAATGAGGCGTCAGCGATGGATGAAAACAATGTATTAATACTTTCACCAAAAATGCCCTGCCATTATGTAAAGATGCCTATATGACGTCGTTTTGGTTGGATTGCTTTATTAGACAAAATGAAATATCTCAAAACCGAAATGTGGAAATAAAAATCTATACAAAAGCTAGGCAATTTCTCCAATTTTAACAGTTCTTTCATTTACGAAAATAAACAGTGTACGTATATTATAGCATTACATGATTTTCCTGATCGACATGTTTTACTTTTCATTTATTCGAAAAGAATGATGAAATTACAACTTGCTGCATGCCATTGTTTAAATGAAAGTAAATAAAGAAATGAAGTGAAGAATTGTAGACTTCCATATAGCTTACGTTGCTAATACTCCTTAAACACTCAGCTAAATGTACTTAAGATATATTTGGCCTCTCCAATCCAGTATTAATTAAGGTTATATGTGCGTGTATATATTTATATTGGCGAGCCCTGTTTCGTTGATTATACACGCGTATCTGTTGGTCGAGCATCAGAAGGCAAGCCATCTTCATCAAATCCAGGTATTGCCTCAATACTAGCAAACGGTGAACCACTATATGGTGAATCTCTGTCAAACTGCCAACCACGTGCTGAGTAAACAGACTCATTCTCAAAACCATACTCCTTAAATTTTGTTGTCTTGGAAGTATTCACCACACCACTGGAATTTATGTTGGAAACAAACAATTAATTTTCAGGCATATATACAAGCTTATATCTCTCCAACTCATCTGTCTATATTATTTATTAAATAGTTTATAACTAAAACAGACATTTTTCTCAAGTAGGCCTATATACGTCCTTCATGTGTGAAAATGGCTTTACTGGAGTGCAGCCCTAATTCAGAAAGATTCACAAGCATATACTACAATAAATTTTTAAGTATATTCTCCATGTATATTTTATCATATTAACTTACATGATAATAGACATAATCACAAAGAGGAACAATAAAGCTCCACCAATGGATAATCCTAATATCAAAGGCCAATCCACTTCATCATCGCCACCCGCACCTGTGCTTTGAGGCACTGTAAATGTTAGGCCAAGAAGGTCGAACGTAAATTCTCCACTAATAGCATCTTGTACACCACTGGCTGAAACTGGTGATCTTGTGTGGGGATCAAGAACGACGAAACTGACACTGCTAGTAGCAGGATCAATTTGGACAAGAACATCATCTTTGGTGAAGGTTCTGGTAAAGAAATAAATTATGGAAAGTCCGAACATATTGTTATGAATAAAATCCCTTTTTGATAGCACAGTCAACTTGAATAAGTTTACTTTGAACGGATTTTGCTATAAGGTCAAAGACTTTTACATTTTTTTCCGATTCCCCGCAAAAAGTTCCGTTGTTCGATTTAATATATAATGAAAACTACCTATTGCATCCGAATAAATTTAATTATATTCAAGATTAACTTAAAATTTGGTATGTAACATTTGAACTTTCTTGCAACAGAATATAAGCGAGATAGAAGTTTTGAATTCGAAGTAGGTTTGAAATCAAGTTACTGCTTGCCAATAAACGGCATAAAACGGCGTATTAAACTAATTTCAATACAGTTGCCATTTGTTCGCGATTATTGTCTATTTCAATGAAGTAGAATTTAATTACCAATTATTCACAAGTGGATCTATAATGTTGGACCAGTGGTGATCTTGGGAATTAAAGCAAAGAATTTCGAACGTGCAAGGTAACAAATTAAACAGATGACAAACAGCATCGAAACATGCGGCAACGTCGTGCGATATTTTTTAGATCAGGATATTCAACCTTGGATCAACAAATTAACCAATATTCCTTTGTTGCTATGGTTTCTTTGTCTATAGACAATGAGTATTGTAATTGTTGTCAAAGATTGACCAGCTTTTTAAATTTAACAAATTTTGAAATTTGAGACAATTATGCTGTATTTGCGTCCTTCTGAATTAGTTCCTTAACATACACGAGTGCAAATACCCGAGCGGAATTAGTACCTTTATATGCCCAGGTGCAAATACCCGTGCGGAATTTCATTCTTCGCACCAGCTAGGCTACAGCACCGGAACGGCGCTAACGGCCTCGCATTGGCTTGCGATTAATGTAAAACTTATAATAAGACTTTTCACAAACCTACCCATTAGTAGGGCAAATTGCAGCCCCAGAATTGTTCCGACAATATGCATTCAATCTGTTTGCAATTGTAGTTTGGACATCCAACCTGACGTCCTGCAATTAAAAGAGAATTTATTCGTTGATAGCATACAGTATATTAAACTTAATAAATTTCTTTACCTTAAAAGGAGGGAGCTCATTGGAGAGGGGAACTTAATAGATAACTTAAATAACGTTTAATAACAAATAACGTTTTCATTAAAAGCGTTGCTTATAATCGGGGCGACGTTCAATTAAACAAATAAATACGGTAATGTTCAGCATTTGTTTTCACTGTCCGACCAAAATTCCATTTTCTGCCTGGTTGGTTACTCTTCAAGTTCATCTTTATGTTATTTCATTTTATTTTAAAACTAGAATATAAATTGCCATCAATCTGTATAGAAATCGAAATTTCTCCGGGGACTGAAATTATTCACTCACACAATTATCGTACTCAATCCATTTGAAGGCGCAAATGCTTTTCAAGTAACTACAGTGAGTTGCCATCTAATAATCAAAACTCGGGATGGAGACAGATGATTAAATATGCATCGTATCTAAATGAAGCATAAGCAATTTTTCGTAGACACGTATTTGATAAAAAAACCCCGGTATACCTGTGTTGAATTGAGTCCATTTACTGTAAGTTGTACAAGGTTTTCAGTTTGATCAGCTGTCAGGACAGGATTTTGACTCATAGTCGTATTTAGTACAGTAGGTTGTGATATGACATTTGGTGATGAACTGTAAATAGTATTCAAAAGATCCGAGGGCATAGTTGCTCCGCTTGGTAAATTAACAAAAAATGACAGAATTGAATCGCCGCCATCTTGTGTGGGAGAATTGGGCAAAATCTGGATATTCTGGAAATCAATGTCGTTCAGTTGATCTCTGTAATTAAACGAAAACGTTTTTAATCAATGGAGGTACCACTACCACGACACCCGTGCATGCAGAAGAATATCGACAAAATTACTGCAATCTGATTGGTTAAGAGGAGTGCAATTATTTCATTAATTGCACTCTCCAGGAGTGCAATTAATGATTTTCGTGATGGCTGGGGGGAGCGGGAAATCAAAACAACAAAATCCAATATGGCGGCGAAATTTAGATAAGATTTCTATAACAAATGTGGACAATTTAACTGAATTTTGGCACAAGAATGAGTTTAAGAAACATTGTATGGCAAAAAGAGCCTGTGGAAAATACCTGGAAACAGTCTTAAGAAATAATCTTGGCGGGATGCAGCGAAACGTGACTATGTAAGTTTGATCGAAATACAATTTATAAAGATTTTCTTAGTCTAAAATATGTTGTTTGAGTTTGAATCTTGTGTTCTAAGTTTAAGTTATGTGCCTTTATGAGTTTATAATCAATTCCCAAGTATGTTTATACCAAATTGCTTACAAAAGAATTAAAAACTGTTGACAAAATGCAGTTGAAATATAAAGAAATCGATTTTGTCATGCATATAATAAATAAATAATCACACGGGCAAGTCGTGCAATTAATGATTAACACTACTCGTGATATTTGAAAAATGTGCCAAATTGCACTCGCCTCGGCGGCTCGTGCAATCTTGGCACATTTTTCAAATATCACTCGTAGTGTTAATTGTTAATTGCACTCCTTCCCGTGTGATTACCTATACTAAACGACTTTATTCTCCATGTTGAGAGTTATTTAATGACGCAATCTTTATAGGCCTATCATTCGATTAGGCCTACCTCATATTATATATGTCGTCTATGTAATTTTTATCTATAAGGTCTAGGAGGATTCGATCCTAGAATAAATTGTTCCAATTGAATTTCTTTAACACTAGTATGTTTAGCATCATTTACTGGGCGAAACATCCGCTCTGGATTGTGCTAATTTGTAACTCTGTATAGTCCATCAAAAACCTCAGTGCTAATTGTGCCAATTTGTAACTCTGTATAGTCCATCACCTCGTCTATTCACTTTTATTATTACATAATATATAATCCTGCTATTATAAATTCAAAAACATAAAATCATGATCGTGATGTAATGTATAACCTTCTATTGTAGTATATTTCATTATTAACATACCGTGTGAGATTGCACGAGGTCAATCGTGCATTAGTCTGGCCACAAAACCGGACGATTGCTTCAGACATGTTGTTTCGGAATGATATATCTTGTTGCAGCGTCCACTATACAAATACATTATAAATTAAATCTTATTTTTAAATTAGTATTTGGAAGAAATACACGGTATAGAGAAAAGTTTTAATCGATCGAAATCATGACCCAATAATTTTCCCAAATCAGTTACATTTGAGTTAGGACCGTTATGATTTTCATCAATTTCCGTGAACACAAATCTCACCTCACTAGGTTGGGTACCGGTTAAACGAACACTGATCGCGTTATCGCGTTGATTGTCTGAAACTGTAGGTGCATTGACAACTCCAAGGGTAAGATTGGATATTTGTGACTGACCATCTTCTTGAAGAGTATGATGTAAAGCATCTCCAACAACACTGCCTTCTACTGGAGTATCTGTTCCTGGTTGATTGACGGCGATACCCAATACTGTGTTATCCCGAACATCCATTACAGAGCTTCCATCGACTATGACATCATTTTGGCTAAATTGGTCGCTGTAAGGAAAAAACTTCGATGAAATATTTTGAAGGCCACTCCTGGCTACTTTGAATTTAACGGGAAATAATACAATGTCAGTGTATGATTTTAATATTAGTATTTGGGAAAATTGTCAAAACACATATTCTCCTATACGTTTTCCTCAATTTTATGCAATTATACACTAAATACTGTAGCAACGTATAGGCTATACAGCATATATTTACGCTCCATGAAGAGCAATTTGATTTTTTTATTCATTTATATTTTTATAAAACTTCGCATAGAGGCTAAAAATTAACGTGGTCAATATACGCACAAAAACAAGGCCGGAACACCACAACAGTTGATACCAATTACTTTGGGCTCTTAATTAATAATTGATTACTAGAAGTTTAAAAAGATGATAGAAATAAAAATTTTAAAAACCAACACACCCACTAATATATCCACAAAATACACACAAACACATACAAAGAAGACAAAACAAACAAAACCGCCTAAAAAACAAAACGAAAGAAAACAAAAAAGGAAACTCAAAGTCCAATAGCAGCATGTTAGCGCGCTAGCATGAGCTAGGACCCAAAACTTGAACATAACCATCTTCATCATTTCTACTCTTATTAAAATTAAGTCGGCTGAATAGTTAATTAAATATTTGTACAAGTGCTCACAACCAGATAACTAATTTATTTCAGAATTTTTAATCGTTATTGTTGTATTAGTAAATGAAATCAATATCCATGCACATACCTAACTTCTCTCTTCTTCCTGCGGCTAAAATGAGAATAAGCATGTGAGAAAGGTATATAAACAACTACAGTATAGCACAATATCGGTCATATTGTTATAATGGGCGACAACTGCAGACTGCTCAAGAAGAATTTACTTTCCGAGATAAGAGATGGCAAGAGACGATGCATTTGTGGAGAAAAAAAGGACATGCATGCTGATAGCTAACTTGAAGAAATCTGAATCAATCACAGCCGATATAATAGATATAGAATGCGTACAATTTCTCTAACGCCTGTTGTTGTGACTAAAATATAAATTTGAATTTGATAATATACACAATATTTATGTTGGGCGAACGTCGCAGATATACAGGGCTTAACTCTAGGTGTTACCAAAATTCAAAGCACAGTAACTTCCGAAAAGGCTTGTTTCTACATTTGGAAATATTTCTGAACAACCGTCCGGCTCTGAATATCCCATCACTATCAACCTGTAGTTGAATCACGTAATGTCTTGCAGTCCATAAAGTTAGTACAAAAGGTCGCATGCAGGACTTGTGCACAAAAAATATCCCGCAACATGTAGCATTCCGCTTTGCATTCTTCGAAAGCAGTTTTCCTCCTCATTCCCCAATTCACAATTGTAAATGTTATGAGCACGAAACCAATATACTGGAACTCTCGTGAATGACTTTAAAACAATAAATGAGTATATTGATTGAATTAGTAATTAAACTTACGCATTGACTGTAAGGTTGCATACATCTCCAGGTGTACTGAAGCAGAAAATATTCATCTTCGCAGCTACAGTTACTCTAAGATCGACAACTACCAACGTATTAACCTGGGAAATAATTAAAGGCAAAACGTTAAAACAAAAAATGACCAAAATTCCCAGTACTTATTGCAGCCCTTCCTCCCTATGTCGAGAATTATTTATAATCATATGTATTATTATATGGCAAGCATTTGTTTTGCCAGATAAATCGCGCAATTTGATTGGCTGCTGACGAGGCAGTATTTTTCCGCATTCCTGCATAGACGGGAATTTGACGCGAAAACATTCCCGCTCTGTCGGGCATTTGACCCCGGAATTGACTCGTACATCAGTGAAAACGGACTTGTCGATGCTGTTTATTAATTTTATTGTTTTCATATTTATTTTGTTGTCTTTGATTGAATGACGAAATACCTCGCAGATACTATCCAAACTGTGTTAGTATTCTATAAAATTTGCTGTGGAGTAGTTTTACTAACCAAGACTCAAGCGAGCATTTTTTACAATTGTTTTTTTTTTGCAAACGTTTCGGACTTTGTACTTTACTCGCGTGACTTTTCTTCCCATTTCTTACAAACGTACAATGCCATATAATAAAAAACTTACTGACTTCAACCGTTCGGGCAGTACGGGAAAATATCCAACCTCGGCGGTCTTGCTGTATTGGCCAAATAAGCGATAGCGCGAGGTCAATACAGCAAGACCGATGTTGATTACTTTCCCTCACTCTTGGTCAGTAAGTTATTAGTATTTACTATTATTTGTTATGAATTGTTATTTATTGTTTATTGTGCAAAAGCACGGGAATCTTTCACAAAATCATGCATGAAATTATTTTAGATTAATAAAATCGTACAGTCATTAATAATTCATGAGGAAAGTCGTATCTTTACATCTGATAGAGATTTCCCTTGATTTGATTTTCTCGACTTACACAACGTATTTTGTGAAAACTACTTCGTTTTTGAAGCAATTTAAAGTCATTCGCAGTGCTTGTTTTATCAGATTTAAAGATACTCAGCTTCGCCCCGTATCTTTATCTCTCATGATAAAACACAACCTCGTACCCAGGGTTCTCTTTGTGCTGGCCGTCCAGCACAAAGAGAACCCTGGGTACGAGGTCGGATACAGCACTGCTGCCCATGTTTTAAATAGTACATAAGCTATAGAGAATGACAACAATATTGGTATGTTGATAGTGTGTACGATCAAGCACTAAAACTGAAATCAATTGCAAGTTTTGCTATAGAAGGTGACGTGCACCTCTAAATAGTTACATGTTATCATGCACAGTTATCATGAAATATAACTTTCCAGTAAAACTTGGTTGTTGTAATATAAAGATCTTACTTCATTTCCTTAAAGATTATCATGTTAGTGCGTTTTTATTATTCCTTGAAAAACGTACGCATGAACATGCTATAGTCGATCAGGACTCGATTAATAACATTGTACAAGAAAATCATATAAATCTGAATTAATTCCCCAACACCCTAGCTAAATGGATGTTTTCATATAAACTGCACAAACAACAACTCAGGCAGTGTAATGTTCAAATATACAGTTAATACTAACTCAAAATGATAATTTCAAAAAAGGAAGGTGAGTGGTTAGCTAGCTAAATTTGTATCGCTTTAGACATTATTCTACTCACCTTTCCAGACCTGAAGTTGAAAATTATTATTAGCACTATGTTTTGGGTTTGGGTGGGGGTAAGAGCTGGAGTTTCAGTGCTTGCTATGCTAACTCCTGGTTCTTGAAGTTCACTGTCCACGCCGGAGAGAATCTTGTCTTGGTGTGACGTAAATACGGTTGCTAAGACACTGCTGGGTAATAGACCACTACCACTTGGTAAAAGTGCGTAAAAGGATAGAATAGAATCGGTTCCATTTTGTGTGGGTGAGTTCGGCAGTCTTCGAATGTGATCAGAGGTAAAGCCATTCAAGTCAGCGCTAAAGGCGAAATGCACATAATCAATGTTTAATCTGTGAGTAAACTGCACTTGGGGCCAAAGTCAACTGTCTGAGTGGTATGGCTGCTATAAAATGTCTGTATAGAAATGTCTCTATAAGCGCTAAGCAAACAACTTGAGAGAAAATTTACTGGAGAGGTGATTGTCGCCGATCTCAAATTATAATATTAGTAGTCGTGGTAAAGAAGTGAATTATAATATAAAATAAAAATTGAAAAAAATTTCGAAACTTGGGCCATGCAATTGAAAACCCATGTACGTCAAACTATGGTTCAGATTAAAAATATGTAATTACTTTCAAATAGTAGTATCGGAATCTATACCCTATTATACGGTAGCCGGTCGGCATTATACCACCGTGCTAGCCTTAGACTTGCTCCAAATCTCTTTCGAATAGACCTTTTCCCTCATGAGTGAATTTTTGATCTAGATATGCCTGGACTAAAATTTCATCACAGCTTGCAAGAGCATCACAAAATTAGTAATATTCCGAAGTTTCGTTGCGAAATGTTGTAAAATGCGGATAATATAGCCTTGCAAAATTTGCCGTTTTGCAGTCATTTTGCATTACAAACGGGAAATTGATAATCAGTTTCATCATCTGATTATCAATTTCCCGTTTGTAATGCAAAATGACTGAAAAACGGCAAACTTATATTACTAACTTTGCGATGCTCTTTCAAGCTGTGATGAAATTTTAAGCCAACTTGAGCGTCTTGGAGCAAGTCTATGCTATAGACTACCACCTACAAATCTTGCAATACGATCATGATATACAATCAAATTGTGCTTGAAGGACTTACTCTGAAATGTTACAGATATCACGATGGTACGTTGACATGTTACAGAATGCTTTGATTTCCTCTGACATGTTCCGCCGAAACGATGCACCTCGGAAAGACCACTACATAAATAGCAAATTAGTAAATAGTTGAACTATAATAAATTCATAGAAAATTTGAAGTACAATTTAGTCGAATTGTACGTGTACTTTCTATATTGCCGTTTTAAATAATAATAATCACGCTGTACTCAAAAGAACTTACACAAAAATTTACAATAATTAATTACCCTTCATTTCGTAATTCGACAACAACTGCATGAGGAGTCACAAATATAATTATATAATTTACACAGTTAACATAAACTATATATAAATAGAGCATTTTAGAATTCAGTTAGCTCAGCCTATCATTATGCATGACCAATTCAATCACAGTGCGTCTACAGTAAGTGGGGCCACTTAGAGAACACTGACCAATCGCAGTGCAGAACAAAAAGAAAAATCTAATCAAACTAAAGCTCGTCCAATCAAAAGAAAGATTCAGGAAGCCATTAACTGCAGTGTTTACTTTTACAAGTCTATTTTTACCGTTTGACATTCTTTTATTTGTTAAAATTGTTTTTGGCCCAATGCTGATTGGCTATAATGCGCCGTTTGTTGATTTTTTCTATTTTTGTTCTGCAATGTGATTGGTTAGTGTTCTCTAAGTGGCCCCACTTACTGTAGACGCACTGTAATTTCCACGAGAAGTCTATTGGCGGTACATTTTTAAATTGTAATAACACGAGCCCTTTACGACTCAAAATTTTAATTAACATCAATAGATTGTACAGTATGTCTGGTCATGGTAAAACATCCTAATAAGAAGATTTCCAAGACTCTGGTGACGTGCTTGCAATTATAAGTACATGGAAAAACAAACCTGATCTGCTTGGAAATCTTTCAATACGACATTGATTGCGTTATCAATATTTTCCTGTGGTAGTGGCACTGTAAATTGTAAGTCGAGAAGGTCGGACAAAAATTCTCCACTGATTGCATTTTGTACACCACTGGCTGGAACTGTTGATCCTGTCTGGGGATCAAGAACGACGAAACTAACACTGTCAGAAGCGGGATCAATTTGGACAAGAACATCATCTTTGGTGAAGGCTCTGATAAAGAAATATATGCATGTCATTACCGAACACGTATTGTTAAAAATGAAATCCCTTTTTGATATCACAGTAAACTTGAATAAGTTTATTTTGAAGAGAAGTTGTTATTACCGATTGCAACCAAATAAGTTTAATTATTTCTTGGAATTAACAACAACCACAAATGCTTAAAGAATAAAACAACTTTATTTTTATTGCAAACAATAAAGTTGTTTTATTTTAAAACACTTGTGGTCGTTGTTAATTCCAAGAAATAATTCAAAATGAGGCTTAGAAACGACGAGTTCGATACTACAAATATTAAAGTTAATTATATTCATGATATGTTAACATGAATTTTGGCATAAGCGAGATGTAAAGTTTGAATTTAAAGTAGGTTTAAAATCTTTAAAGTCTATTTCGATGAAGTAAAATTAAATATCAAATTATTCCTAGTTGAATTTATATAATGTCGTTGATCTTGGGAATTAAAGCAAAGAATTTCGAATGTGGATGAGAAACAAGTGAAAAATAGCCAAGAAATATACGACAATATCGTGAGTCATTTTTTAGTTTAGCATTCCAAACTTTGGATCAACAAATTACCCAATATTCCTTTGTTGCCATGGTTTATTCGCCTAGACAATGAGTATTGTTATCAAAGGTTGACTACAGCTTTTTAAAGTGAACAAATTTTGATATTTGAAAAATAATGCTGTATTTCCGTTCTTCTGAAATGGTACCTTCATATACCCGGGCGCAAATACACGTACACCTCCATATACTCGGGGGAGCAAAAGTGGTATCTTCGCCCCAGGCTATCGCCCGGAACGGCGCTAACAAGCCGGCTGGGCATTAATATAAAATTTATAATAAGACTTTGCACAAACATACCCATTAGTGGGACAAATTGCAGCCCCAGAATTGTTGCGACAATATGCATTCAACCTGTTTGCAATTGTAGTTTGAACATCCAACCTAATATCCTGCCATTAAAAGACATAATAATATAATTTGTTTATTGATAAGATATATAACCATTTTTAATTAATATACATGCAATATAACCATTTAATTGTCAGATGCGCAAGTAACAACTTGAAGGAAACAGAAGAATGGGAGAGATAAATTATTAGTTCTGGTACATTTCTACTATATGAAAATCAAATCCACAAAATGTTGGTGGGCGGAGTCGGCAAATTACAAACGCAATTATTTATTACATATTGCAAAAAAAATGGACACACAGTTGTTCAGAAACAGGTTAGCTTAAATGTATAATTTAATCTAAAATTCAAAGCAAACTTCCCAACAGTTTTAAAGTTTGTTGTCCAGATATATCAATCATGTTTCGCTCGCTACTCTGGTTTAAATAAATGATTACAAAGCCCAATCGAATTTTAATCAAGACCCAACGTTTTGACACTCCAGTCTGGTGTCTTCATCAGGGATGATCTAAAGTTGCAATCGTGGCTTCTTAAATACCCAAGGAATGACGTCACCTGCCAAATGAGATGCATGTATTCCTCTGGGGCCGGTTGTTCAAAGCACGATTAGCGCTAATCCTGGGTTAAATTTTAACCTGCTGTTTTAGTTTATGCATTTCTGCACATCTATTTGTTTCAATACTTCAGAGAAGAAAACTCTCATTGGTCCAGACAAGATTTCTGAAGAAATATTTCCAAGTTTATAACCAAGCTGTCGGGATGTTTGCTTTCAATTTTAGGTTAACCTAGGATTAAGCTAATCGTCTTTTGAACAACCGGCCCCTGGCAAATAGGCACCGTCATTCCTATTCAAAGCATGACTACTCATATTTATATGCCACGCTTCTATGGACATAGTCTTTGACCATAGCGATTGTTTATGGTAATTACTGTAGAGCTTTCCCACGCAATCTCGTGTTTGGTGTCACATACATGTTCTGCTAAAGCCGATTTTCCCTTGTCTAAAGTTGAAACAGCCTTTTGATGTTCTTTTAGCCGTGTACCAAACTGGCGTTTAGACTGATCCAAATACTCTTTCTCGCACTCAGTCACCGCAAGATATAGAATATTACGGGAACCACTGAGTATTTTAATAAAATATAAAACAACGGTAACTCCGAAAATAAACATTTTAATATTCTAGCTTTCGACTAGGATTCAGTCATCATCAGTCATCATCATTCCTGATGATGACTGAATCTTAGTCGAAAGCTAGAATATTAAAATGTTTATTTTCGGAGTTACCGTTGTTTTGTATAGAATATACAGCATGAGTTTTCTGATTTGTTTTAACAGGATCTTTTGGCTTTGCGAAAATATGGCCTAAAGTCAAATAGGGTTTTAAGGCAACCTTAATATTACAATTACTTAAGATTCTCTTGATTGGTTCTGTGACACCTCGAATGTATGGAACTATTGCATAGCCATATTTTCGCAAAGCCAAAAGATCCTGTTAATTAAAACAAATCAGAAAATTCCCAACAGTTTGCTGATAAACATTTTGTCAGAAATCCTGTCTGGATCAATAGCTGTTTTCGTTCTGAAGTTTCGAGGCAGGCATGTGCTGGGGTCTTGAAAAGACGTCGAATGAGCAACATCTGATGGGGCCCAGGCCCGGTGACGGATGGATCAAGACTTGGGTGGGGGGGGGGAGGGGCTTGTTACTGATCAAACATGAAACATTTCAGTCGCTAATTAATCTCTTTTCCCAAACAATTGTTGGCGAGAGGGGAGTAGAGCAAAAAAATTTCCGGACATACCATTTTTCAGTATAATTCGATTTAATGTACCATAATTTGTTACATTTTTTGGTGACATTTTCGTAAATTTAGATTTTTAAAATATACATTGTAATATCTTAATCTTGATTTTCAAAATAAAAGTCTATATATTTTTATATTTTCCAATGTTTTAATTTTAGAGGCCCATCATGGCAGTCGCCCACAACAAGTTCTCGTCGGCTCGTCCCAAGCCAGTACGTCTGTTTTGAGGTGAAACAGACGTACGCATGTGAGATAAGAGAGCATTGAAATATACTCACTTTAAACATAAATGTATGCTGTAAATAAAATTTCCGACGCTTAATGAATAAATTTCTTGATCTTAAAAGGAGGGAGTTTATTAGAGAGAGGGACTCACTACATAAATTAAATAACGGAATTTTTTTTCATTATAAGCGTTGCTTAATCGGGGCGACGTTTAATTAAACGAATAAATACGGTGATGTTCGGCATTTGTTTTCACCTTTCAGTTCAAAGTTGTTAATTTTTCAAATTCACCTATTTATAATCATCTGTCTGCATCCGCAAGTTTTTATTACTAAATGGCAACTCACTGTAATTGCTTGAAAAGCATTTCCACCTTCAAACGGGATGGAGAATGATTGGGTAGGTGAAAAATTTCAGTCCCCGGGGCGACGGAATGCTCTACAGATTTATGGCAATTTATACTCTACTTTTAAAATAATATGCGACGTATCACATTACTTAAAACTTAAAAGAAGCATACAATTGTCATTAAGCAATCTTTTAGCCGGACACATGGAATGAAAAAACGTGTATTACCTGTGTTGGTTCGCGTCCATTTACTGTGAGTGGTACAAGATTTTCAATTTGACCTCCTGTCAGGGAAGGATTTTGGCTCATAGTCGTATTTAGTACAGTAGGTTGTGATATGACATTTGGTGACGAACTGTAAATAATGTTCAAAAGATCTGAGGGCATTGTTGCTCCACCTGGTAGATTAACAAAGAATGACAGAATTGAATCGTCGCCGTCTTGCGTGGGAGAATTGGGCAAAATCTGGATATTCTGGAAGTCAATGTCGTTCAGTTGACCCCTATAATTAACAGAAAACGTGTTTAGTCAATGAAGGTACCACTACAACAACACCCATGCAGAACGAATATCAACATTAACTGATGGACTAAACGATTTTAGTTTCCATGTTGAGCTTTAGTATTTAATTAAAGGCACTATCTTTGTATCATTCGATCACGTTCGTGTTATTAAGGTCTATATGACTTTTATATAAAAGGTCTTGGAGGATTTGATCGAAGAATAAATTGTTTTCATTGAATTTCATTAGCTTCATTGGCTGGTCGAAACGTCAGCTCTGAATTGTGCTAGTTTGTAAACCTGTATAGTCCACCAAAAATCTACCTCCTATTTTTTATTTATTTTTTATTAACTTTACAATCAAATGACTGATGGTAAGGACAACAGGACGTGAGTCCCTAATTAAGTCCCACCAAAAACTTACATTACATAATTACTTATAGGTATTACAAGAATACATATTATATACATAAACATTAGGACATACAACAATTGTAATTACGTCTATGAACAGCAGTATGTATGTAAAGAACGACATTTACTGCATACAGTTTTCCATGTTCTAGGACTGTGTACATCAAAGGTACTGTTCAGCTTTTTAGTGTAAAATATATATAGTTTGGATTTAAGTATGGCGACCGACGAAGATGATTTGATATCAGACGTTAAAAATTGTTCCATAAAAATACAATTCTGTTAATAAAAGAGGGAGGTGTTGCACAGGTTTGGACGAAGATCACCGGAACTGGAACAAGTGGAGAGGTGAAGAGGTTGAGTTATATACTGTAGGGCCTACTGATTGATGTCAAGTTCGTACAGTACATCCCGTATTTATACATTTTGTAGAGGAATATGATTTCTTTAATTTCATGCTGTACGATAAGTGAGAGCAGGCCCGAGACAAATAGAGAAGTATATTGTTACATTATATGTATTCGTGGTATTATAACATATAAAATCATGCATGATAGTGATGTCATGTAGAACCTTCTATTGTAACATACTGTATCTTCATTATTGACATACCGTGTGAGATTGCACGAAGCCAATCGTGCATCACTCTGACCACAGAACTGGACGATTGCTTCAGACATGTTATTTCGGAATGATATATCTTGTTGGAGCGTCCACTACAAATACATTATAAATTAAATCTTAGTTTAGTATTAGGAGGAAATACACGGTAAAGAGAAAAGTTTCAATCGAAAGTACTTTCCCCCAAAAGTTATAAATTTAAGTTATATGATGTCCATTAATTTTTTTCCTGCTCGTCATGAACACAAATCTAACCTCACTAGGTTGGGTGCCGGTTAAACGAAGACTGATCGCGTTATCACGCTGATTGTCTGAAACTGCAGGTACATTGACAACTCCTAGGGTAAGATTGGAAATTTGTGTCTGACCATCTTCTTCAATAGTCTGATGTAAAGCATCTTCGACAACATTGCCTTCTACTGGAGTATCTGTTCCGGTTGATTGACGACGACAGCCAATACTGTGTTATTCCCTGCATCCATTACAGAGCTTCCATCTACTAGGACATCATTTTGGCTAAATTGGTCGCTGTGGGGGAAAAAACGTAAGTAAAATGTTTTGAAGCCCACTCCTACCCCCCATGCATCTTTCATAAAATTAATGTACTTTGAATTTAATACAATGTCAGCGTGTGATTTTAAGTAGCATTTGGAAAACCTGTCAAAAAACAAATATACACTGCGACATTTTCCTCGACTTTATGCAATGTCGCTAATTAGCAATTAATATACAATATATATTTACGTGTCATGAACAGCAATATGGATTTTTTATTCATTTGTAATATTTACAAACCCACGGTAACAGGGCTTTATACGTGCGTAAAGACGCAAGCCGAAGGCGAGCGGCATTACGCGCCGATAAAGCCAGGTCACGAGGTTTGTAAATGACGTAAACCTGATATACTCCCAAAATCATATAAGAAAAATATGTTGGAGGTAAATTGTAGCATTCTGCGCTCTGGCGCACATGGTGTAATACATAGACCACTATATATAGACCTTGAACTGTCTGTGCCAGTGTATAAGTATTAGGTAGTGCCAGTTATATTGTATAACAAGCTTGCGTTGGTAGGGATGCAACTACCTGAAAAATATATGGAAATTTTCCATATATATTTCAGGTAGTTGTATCCCTACTAATGAAAGCTCACTATATAGGCCATGCACATGCAGGGTTTATTTTAACGTGCAGTTCTACACAAAATGTGCAATTCTAAACCCATTTGCGCAGTTCTTAAAACACAAATGTGCAGTCACCAAATTAACAAAAATATAACCTCAAAACAATCTTCTCATTTACTCGTTTTCCTTGTGGATGCTCCAGATCCCAGAAATGCTGTCATTGAGCATCAAAAATCTAAATGTTTTCTGGCAGAGGACCATCAGATCCTCATACTTTCATCACAAATCACATATGTGCTGGGGTAATGAAACAGGAGGTAAAATTGGGGCGAGCGAAGCTATCCAAAAGAGATTAGATTGGGAGAACCTAATATTCTTTGCTGCCCAAGGTTATTATATATTGAGTATTCATGATTCCCAGTTACATGTTTTGAAACAGATTTGGTGGGTGGTTGGGTGAAACAATCGAGTTTGTCTGGCCCCACCCAACCACATCTTTATTCTGCCACTTATACACTATAAATTAAGAGTCTATCATTATATGCAACGTTAACTATAAATTTACAACGTTAAATATACTGTAGATAAAAATCCTTTGACCCCCAGCCAAACACCCTTTGACCCCCCAGTCAAACACGTGATGCTTCGTAACATCCCTAATATGTGCAGTTCTAAACTTTTCTTAAAATAAACCCTGTGCACATGTACTTTACACATGATAAAAGTACACGTGTTTATATAGAGAATAATACATGGATGCGTGGAAATACCAGATTTATTTCGAATGTTGCACATGATATCTCACGAGTGAGCGCAGCGAATGAGTGAGATATCATGTTCAACACGAGAAATAAATCTGGTATTTCCAAGCACCCATGTATTTTTCTGTTTATTATATAAAAAATAGTCTTTGAAAAGCGATAATTTTTACAGAAAAGCGATAATTGAAAAGCGATAATTTTCACATGTGAGATTATCATAAATAATCTCACATGTGAGATTATCACTTTTATCAGTGCTCGAAATCTCTTTCAAAAACTCATTAATAATTCATGAAGCAATTATCCAATCTTGAGTAAGAAATTAATCACGTGCATACGTCTTTATACCAGCTAAAGAACACTTTAACAAAATACCATTGTTATGCAAACTATATAAAGATTTTTATATAAAGATTTTTATATAAAGATTTTTATATAAAGATTTTTATATAAAGATTTTTATATAAAGATTTGACTTATTATGCATACGTCATTTAAAAAACTCGCGGGTCGTGTTTTATTAGGTCTAAAGCCACTCGCGCTGCGCGCTCGTGGCTTTAAACCTAATAAAACACTCCTGCTCGTTTTTTAAATAGTACATAAAGCACAATACTTTATATAATAAATGAGCATAAATTATCAGTACGGTGAGGTCTTTATTTGGTAATAAAGGGGTTGTCATGTGAGGAGACTTTAAGAAATTAATTGGGTAATTATCTCATGAATTATTTTAGAAATATGTTAATTATAAGGCATCGCTTAGAGACTAAAAATTAACGTTGTCTATACATGTCTATACACATTTGAATATCGAAGACAAACATAAAAAAAAGCTAAACAAGTTCAGGACACCACAACAGTTTGTACCAACCATTGTGGCCTAATTAATTAAACAAGTTTAAAGCCAATATACCTACTCACCCATCCACAAAACAGAAACACAAAGAAGACAAAGCAAATAAAAACCAAAAAACAAAAAGTAAAACGCGAAGTCTAATAACAGGCAGCATGTTAATTAAGTGGAGAACAGTTAATTAAATATTTGCACACAAGTGCTCGCACGCAACGGATAGGAACAAAATTACTGCGTCGTAAAACAGCCACATAACTAATTTATTTAAAATTTTAATCATTATAATTTAATATCCACATACCCAACAGCTCTTTTCTTCCTGCGGCTAAAATAATTAAGAATAAGACAAGTTAGAAAGCTAAGGCACACAAGCAGCTACGGTATAGCATAATATTGATCATGTGGTCAGAATGATGACAGCAGAATGGTAAAGCAGGTTTACTCTCAAAGATAAAAAGATGACAAGGGACGATGGGTGGAGAAAAGAAGGATCTGCTGAAAGCAAACCTGACGAAATGTGTTTAAACATCAATAGATGGGAGGAGAATGATAAAGGACCAGTTTCCCTACTTGTGATCTCCTCTCGTAGTAATTTTACGACAAAACTTTCGCGTTCATATGAACAAGCGCGCTAGCCTGCCGATTGTCTTTGAAATCCCGACTGGAATGCGTAAGCCGAGATCATAGACAGGAGAAAAGTCTAAATTTTGTTACAGTGTCTCTAATGTTGGATAAAGTAAGTCGGAACGCCTGGTCTTGTTGATAATTTACACAATTTATGTTGGGCGAACGTCGCAGAACCACAGGGGCCGGTTGTTCCAAAGCCGATTAGCTCTAACCCATGGTTAACCTAAAATTCAAAGCACTCTTCCTGACAGGCTTGTTTGTACATTTGGGAATATTTCTGAAAAAAACCCCTGAATATCCAATCTACATCAACCTATTTTTGAAACACGAAATGACTTGCAGTCCATAACATTCGTGCAAAGGGTCACAGGAGCTTTGCACAAAACAATACAAACTGTAGCATTCCGCTTTGCGTCACATAGAAAGCAATTTTCCTCTTCATTCACAATTGTAAATGTTATAAGAACAAAACTATATTGGGACTCTAGTGAATGGCTTTGAAACAATAAATGAGTATATTGTTTGAATTAGTAACTTACCTAGTGACTATAAGGCCACATACATCACCAGATGTACTGAAGCAGAAAATGTTCATCTTCGCAGCTATAGTTACTCTAATATCGACAACAACCAACGTATTAAGCTAGAAAATAATTAAAGACAAAAATAATGTTAAAACAAAAATTGACCAAAATCCTCAGTACATGTTGCAGCCCATACTAGCCCATCCTCCGTATGTCGAGGGTTATTTATAATTTAGTATTCACTAAATTTATATTTTGTTGTTAATTTAATTGGTTATTGTGTAAAATCAAGAAAAATATTTACGAAATCATGACAATCATTTTAGATTGATCAAAAACACACAGTCATGCACTAAGTAGATATACGGTAAAGATAATAACATCAATGTCGTTATGTTAGTAGTGTGTACGATCACGCTCTGAAACTGCAATCAATTGCCGATTTTGCTATATAGAAGGTCAAGTGCAGCTTTAAATACTTGCTTATCTTTTGCCTTAGGTCCAATTATGGACGGTGTAAAAACTTGTGAATTATCATGAGATAACTTTCGCTGTTATAATATAAGGATCTTAGTTACTTCATTTTCTTGAAGATTATCATGTTAGTGTGTTTTTATTATTCTTTTGATAATATTAAAAAACGTACGCATGAACATGCTGTTTAGTCGATAAAAATATTGTGCATCTGGATTAATTCGCAGTACCCTAGCTAAATGCATGCTTTCACGTAACCTGCACAAACAACCTCAGGTGGTGTAATCTTACAATACAACGGTAACTCCAAATAAAGTAAGCATTTTGATTCAATGTTTCGACTTTATTTAGTCATCATCAGGAATGCAACTAAATAAAGTCGAAACGTTGAATCAAAATGCTTACTTTATTCGGAGTTACTGTTGTATTGTATTTTATGAAAATACTCAGTGGTTCCTGCAATCAGTGTAATCTTCGAATAGTTATACTATCTCAACATGATAACTCGAAGAAAGGAAAGTCAGTGGTCAGCTAGCTAAATTCTTATCACTTTAGACATGTTTCCACTCACCTTTCCAGACTTGAGGTTGAAAATTGTTATTGCCACTCTGTTTTGGGTTTGGGTAGGGGTAAGAGTTGGAGTTTCACTACTTGATATGCTTTCGCCTGGATCTTCAAGTTCGCTGTTCACGGAGAGAATGTTGTCTTGTTGTGACGTAAATATGGTTGCTAAGACACTGCTAGGTAATGAACCATTACTACTTGGTAAAACTGCGTAAAATGATAGAATGGAATCGGTTCCATTTTGTGTGGGTGAGTTCCGCAGCCTTCGAATGTGATCAGCGGTTAAGCCATTCACGTCAGCGCTAAAGGCGAAATGCACATAATCAATGTTTAATGACGAATAAACTGCACTTGCATGGGGCCAAAATCAACTGTCTGAGTGATATGTCTGGTATAACATGCCAGGGGTATAACTTGGCATATAGAAATGTCCGTATTCGCAAACTTTGATAAAAAATTTACTGTGGACGTCATTGTCACAGAATTCAACTTATAATGAGAAGGCGTGGTAAAGAAGCGAATTATAACATCAAGAAAATATATTCATCTGAACTTTTTTAGCCACTTGAGAAGCTATGTGCGTCAAACGTATGATTCCGATTAAAAATCTATACAAAAAATAGTATTATCGGAATCTTCCAAGTTACAGGGGGGGGGGCGGATAAGGAGACAATTTCGCAACAATTGTGCAGTTTGTGAAGAATGCGCCATATTGACGGCTTTGGCCATTAACGTTAATTTCACGGGGGCCTCCACATCTGATATTCATACTTGTGTCAAAGTCTACGTACACACCCTGTCAATATGGTGCTTTCTTCTCAAAATGTACAATACTTATCATTTATAGACCCGGAGCGAGGGAGATTCGGGGAAATATTACCCGAAGAGATGATATTTCTCGAGGGGCCTTGCCCCGAGGGAAATATCAGTGAGGGTAACATTTCGCCAAATACCCCGAGCGGAGGGTCTATAAATGATATATTATACCGAAAATTAAAAGCCTCCAAGTTGAGGATTAAAAACTTGAAACACACCTTCGTGAATACGATGTTTTATTTTCTTTCGAATCACATATCGTTTGACACCCGGGGAACATGGGGTGGAACATTGTCAAAAGGAACGCAGGCTCGCTAATTGGTGATGTAAGGCGTGATATCGCGATTAATTTCATGCTTGCGTGCCACAAACTAAGTTCCTGATTGGACAATTGGAAGTTGAGGTAGTTTTTCCACTTATCCGCCCGAGTATATACAGTAGTATATTGAAGGAATTCAGAATGTCGGTAGCCGGACGGTATGATGCCACCTTGCTAGTCTTAGACTTGCTCCAAATCTCTCTCGCACTGGCTTCATAGCGTCCATCCCGTTTGTTATGAGAACAGTTACGTTTCCAAATTATGAACTGATCGCATAACAGACTGGATAGACCATATTAAAAATGAAGCCTACTCGAGCGAGATTCGAAGCAAGTCTGTGCAATAGGCTACCATCTATATATCTTGCAATACAATCATATTATAAAATCAGATTGCGCTTGAAGGACTTACTCTGAAATGTTACAGATATCACGATGGTACGTTGACATGTTACAGAATGCCTTGATTTCCGCTGCCATTTTCTGCCGAAACCGTTCATCTCGCAGAGACCACTACATGAATAGCAAATCAGTAAATAGTTTAACTATGATTTATATATTGAAGTAATAATAATTGAAGTACAATTTGTCGAATTGACTTTCTATACTGCCGTTTTAAATCATAATAGTCATGCACGTTAATTGTGCTGAAAGAACTTCCATTGGCGGAAATTTCACAACAATTACCCTCCACTACTGAGGAGTCACATATAAAATTATATAATCTATACGGTTAACGGAAACTATATAAATCATTTAAGGGTTCAGTTAGATCAGCCAATCGTTATGCATGGCACTTAGCTTCAGATCGCCTTTATTAACAGGTTGCAGCTCAGGAAATATTTGGAAAATCAAAAAACTGCTCTAATGTTCTATAGACATTTCCGTCTACCTTTCAGCCATAGAACACATTTTTTTGTGAAGTGCTTTAGAATTTTAAGATTTCCAGCAATAATAGAAATTTATAATAAAATGTCAGAAATTCTAATTTTTTCCTATTAATGTTAATTTCAGGTTGTGCTGAAAGAACTTACATTAGCAGAAATTTCACAATAATTACTCTCCACAACTGCATGAGGAGTTAAATTATACAATCTATACATTTAACGGAAATTATGTAAATCGAATTTTAACGAACATTTAAGGGTTCATGCAGTTAGCTCAGCCAATCGTTATGACCAGATCAATGTAATCCCAAGTAAAACTGATGTAATAACTCGCGCCCTCACGGCTCAAAATTTAAACATGAATAGACTGTATTATACTAATAAAGTCATGTATTACTAATAAAGCCATCTATCTATCTCAGCATGAGCTCCACCTTTGAATTTACTATATGAATAAATTCTTAAACACGTCCAAATTTATCATTATGATAAATTCGCGGCAAATTTTGAATTTATCATAATAATAAGCACTAACATAAACACTAACCATAACCCCAACCCTAACCACTAACCTCTAACCACTAACACCTAACTTTTTAAACTTTTAATTTTTTTTAACTTTTTTAACTTTTTAAACTCTTTTTGCTTTTAAAACTCTTTTAAAACTGTTTTAAGAACTATTCCTTTAAAAAACTTGAGAAACTCCCCACCCCCGCGCGGCCAGCCTTCCTTTTAGTGCCATTACATTTATAACAAGAAATCTTGTCTAATGCTTGTGGTTTTCTGATTAACTCTATTGATAAATTCAAAATGTGCCGCGAATTTATCATAATGATAAATTCGGACGTGTTTAAGAATTTACTCATATAGTAAATTCAAAGGTGGAGCTCATGTTGATCTATCTATGTAAAAATGGTAAACATCTTAATCAGACGATTTCGACGGCTCTGGTAACGTCCTTGCAAATAAAAGTACATGAAATAACAAACCTGATCTGCTTGGAAATCTTTCAATACAACATTGATAGCGTTATCAATATTTTCCGGTGACGGTGGTGGTGCTGTTGGAATTACAATTGTCGTCACGACGGTGAGTTGTAATCCTGTATTTGTTGCAATGGAAGTCAGTTTTTGATTTACAATTAAGAGAAGAAGTGCCTGAGACATAGTTCCACCACCAGGATAATCAACATAGAATTGTATGCTCACGTTACCGCCATCCTGACTGGGGGAATCTGGTACTAGTTGGACGTGGGAGGTCGTAAACGATGCTTGATTTCTACAACGATATATTCAATTATCATTACAGCAACTTTCATATAAAACCCGTTGATCGAAACGTTAAAACTTGAAATTCCTATTATCAGATTTAATCTACCACGCATCTCTCCATGAGTACACGTCAAAAATGTTGCGCGACATGCGTTTGGAAAGGGCTACCATACTAAAATGCAGTACTGCGAAACCCGAACCAGAACAGTGCATATACCGACTGGTAAACGTCTTTTAACTAGCTGTAGTCATTGCGTGTTCATATTTCGTTTATGTACTGTCATTGATTTTTTTATCCTTTCGTTGTTTTGCGATAATTCGAATTCGTCAATTATACACCCAATGTTTAAATGCGATAAATTGCATAAATTATGCGCTTTTCCAGACGCCAAATCTCAGTTGCTGTTTTGGTCTGAATCGTTGATCGGTGTATCCACGTACACCAATAAGTCGTTCAACGGCAGTACCTACAAGCAGTTAGCATATTGAACTGTAAACATAATAATACAATATAGAAGAACATACGCTGGAAGTTCACACTCCTGAGTTTGTGATACACTTGCTTGACAATACTCTGCAATCGCCTGGGCTACATATCCTCGGAACTTATTATCTTGAACAGCTGACCACTGGTAAATTAATTAAAAATATATAAATATGTTTTCAGTACAGGTTTTGACGTACAAAAGGGCTATTAGTAAAACACGGAGCACGGAGCACACGGAGCACGGAGCACACGGAGACGGAGCACACGGAGCACGGAGCACACGAAGTACGGAGCAGTAGAAAAACGAAAATCCTTTATAATAAAATACACTGTTTATTATTACAAATTTTTGTTATTATTAATAAAGATTTTTCGCGAATTTACACGTTGGGGAAGTAGGAAAATGGGGCTTTTACTGAAAACATGCATATGATGCAAAACTGCCAAAAGCAATTAAGCCATAGTATTTAAATAGGATTGTGAAACTCGTTATCTTACATCTATCAACGCATAAAGAAACACTTACTGTAGAGAACAGCCGATATATTTCGTTACCCCTGCCAAAAAATAGCCTAGTACTCATCTTTCAATGTAGCGGATCGACTGAACATTAAAGCTTGTGATGGAGAGAAGTGAATTTTCGGTTTATCCTTCGGCTCAGTGGCAGTGACAGTGTGCTGTACGGCCTACGTTTAAACCGTTATACAGTACATAATTACTGCTTTGAATTCACATTCTTTCAATCCGTTTTGAATATTCGGAATTATTCACAATATTATACTGTAGACGATCCGAAAACCTATTCACCCCCCACCCCTTAACTAAACATACAATTCGGTGTAAGGTTTAAAAATTGACGTGTATTCACTATTATTCTATATATATAATTTAGGTCAACTCTAAAAGAAAAGCCGTACAGCTGCATATGACATTCGGTTAAAAAATTAGAACGCTGACTTTTCGCGTTCTCTTTTTTTTGTCGTAAACAACTCCATATACGGAAGTTTGTTCCATATATGGAGAAAGACGTGGAAACAGATTTTTAAAAAATGCTGATTTTAAAAAAATTACGAAAATCTTTATAGAGGTATAAACTGTTCACAATTTTACCACTTTTTGAGCACTATTTTGAGATTTTGAGCACTTTTTGAGCACTTTTTATAATAGCTCGAATAATAGTGCATTTCGATATGCGTGCGTACTCGACCAAGTATTTGGGAATGTATGCTTTTTACACGTACTCGACTTCAAAAGACAGTAAACGGCTGTAAAATTTGTTAGCTTACTGGACCAAAAGTAAACGGCTGTACGCATTATTGTAACGCATATTGTGTGTACTCTATCTAGTTTAGGCTATAGTCAAAATATCCATCACATGTATCTAAAGACTAAACTATCAAACTTTATAATTCCATCGCAATCGAAATACTGGTCTTACATGCGGCTGCCGGGCAGTATTTTTAAAATACTACGTGCCCGGCAGTCAGGAAACACGTACAGCACACTGGGCCGAAGGATAAACCGAAAATTCACTTCTCTCCATCACAAGCTTTAATGTTCAGTCGATCCCGGCTACATTGAAAGATGAGTACTTGGCTATTTTTTGGCAGGGGTAACGAAATATATCGGCTGTTCTCTACAGTAAGTGTTTCTTTATACGTTGGCCAACGGAATATCCGAATATAATATAACTTCATAAGCTTGATAGATGTAAGATAACGAGTTTCACAATCCTATTTTAAATACTATGAGTTTTGGCAGTTTTGCATCATATGTGTTTTTCAGTAAAAGTCCCATTTTCCTACTTCCCCAACGTGTAAATTCGCGAAAAATCTTTATTAATAATAACAAAAATTTGTAATAGTAAACAGTGTATTTTATTATAAAGGATTTTCGTTTTTCTACTGCTCCGTACTTCGTGTGATCCGTGCTCCGTGCTCCGTGCTCCATGCTCCGTGCTCCGTGTTCCGTGTTTTACTAATAGCCGTACAAAAGATAGTCAAGCATATATTCTAAATACGGTTTATACTGGCAACTGAACTGAGCTGACGGGCTTTACAATTTTACTTGATTTCAAAAGCGGGCTGCATTTAATGCATCGCAGAGATCGAGTTACGAAATTTGGCATGGCGTTATACAGTCGACGTCGCTGCGTGAGTTTGCTAGTCTATTAGTTTATTCGGAATCAAAAGCTTTGGTAATTCAAAAATATGTTATTTCTTCGCGTTTCTGGTGCACTTTGCGCAAGCACCAGGGCGCACTGAACTGTAATACTGTATAACTTGGGTTTTTATCTCGATCAGGTCAATAAAAAGTCAGGTATTACCTGATTTGCTCGGATACTGGATGCGGACACGACAATTGCTTTGGTAGTTTGATTTGAACTGGCTACAGGTGGTGTGGCAGCCAATGTAGAAGTTTCCACTGATAAATCCAAGTTCGTTGCTGTCTTAATCGCTACAGTTTGAGCGGTTAAAATTCCTGCAAGCAAATTGCGCTGTATTGGTCCACTACCAGATGGATAGTTAACGAAGAAGGTATAAGTGACATTATCTCCATCTTGTACAGGGGAGCTTCCAATCCGAGTAACATGTGATGTATTAAACGACACTTGATCGCTAAACAGAACAAAATTAGAAGATTTAATAACTATGTACAGCTAATTCAAAAAAGGTTGTCCGTCTAAAACTCAAAACCGTAAACGTTAAACTATGAGCACGCAATGCATCATGGGAATCGACGGTTTTGTTTCGCATTAATTCAACTATTGCATGACCACAGGAGTGAAGGTAATTGTAAAAGATGAGGAGCAATTTCAAATCGACAAAGTGAACATCTTACTACAAATGTGAACGAAAACGATTTTTCGATATATTCGAAAATTAGTCGTATGCTGGGCCATGTAGACACGGCTGTTATCGACAGGCCATGCGCTTGCGTAGCAATGCACCCGCACGAGGAGCTCGTTATCATGCAGGTTTTACTGCAGCATCAAGAGAAAACTCTATCTGAAATATTGCACGAGGTTTATGAAGAAACGGGCTCAGCGTTGAATCAGTGAATGCGACGAATTCCCAATGTCAGGGAATTACTAGTTTGGTATGAAATTGAATGTATATGTAAAATGCAAGCCCAAAGAGGTGGACCCTTTGAACTCACATGGGAATTAATTAGAACTAATTTCAATGTCATACCAAACGAGTAATTTGCTGGTAAATATGACCTCGCGTCATTCTAGTTAGAATAAATTTAGAGTCCCATTGGGAATTCTTTGGCACTATAATTGACTTCTACTCATAATATTGCTATACGCAAGCGTTTGGTCTGCCGATAACAGTCATAACAGTCGTGTCTAGCATTCGAATTTCGCAAATATCGAGAAATCATTTTCTTTAATTGACATCGGTAAAAAGATACTCACTTCACCGATTTGAAAGTCCAATTCAGTTTCGGTCAACCAAATTGCTATCCATCGTAAATCGTGAATGTACCATGGATCGATAGTTAAAAGAGTTAAAAGTCTTTTAGCTATCCAGGCCATACGCACGCATTTTCTCCCGACAATCGACGTATAAATATATTGTTAGTTAAGGCCGCGTTTACACTATGTCGCTACGGTTAACAACTCCGTTAAAAATTTAATACATTTCTAGTGTTGAGCCTATTTCTATTGTGTTTACACTATAACTGAGTGATTTGTCGTAGCGTACTAACTATACGGACCACTACATTTGCTACACTGAATACAAATCAATTTCGTTAAAAATAAGACTTCAAATTAAAAATAAGATCTTCTTTTTTCGTTAAAAGTAAGTTTCTCAGTATTGTGTTTACACTATAAAGGAGTGCATGGTATACGTTTGGCACTCCGGATGCAAATCACTTCGCTATGGTATATTTGCCGCACGGTCATAGATTCATAGTGTACACGTGGCCTAAATCATACTAAATCAGAGACAAGCTCGTATTACTACAATGTATGTTTACGACGATCTTTTGATAGATTTTTCATATATCTTTGTGGGCGAAAATTGAATTTGACCCGACACCAGAACGACATATAAACAGGGCCTTGTAATACTGAGTTATTGCGAAAACAGATTGTACGTTCCCATGATGCATTGCGCGCTCATAGTTTAACGTTTAAGATTTCGCATTACCGTATGCTATGTTACTTTCAGGTTCCTAATAAAATCATCAGTGGTAATTTGTGACTTCTAAAACCAATACTATCATACTTCTTAAACATGAGTTTGCATATACTGTACCTTGTAACAACACAGGTGACTAAATTAGTTGTGCAATAACTTGCAATCTGTGCGGCTATCGCAACTCTCAGCTGCTTGTCTTGAATAGCATGCCACTGGAAAATAAAGAAGTCTTTGAGCATGTCTTTGAAATTTTCCATTACTTGGCTAAATTATACTTTGTTATAAATACAGTATATAGCATGTGACACCGCTACAATAGTTGCCTCCACCCTCCTTCCCTATACGTACAGTATCTGGGACAACAACAGCAATAATAGTAATAATAATAATAATAATAATAATAATAATAATAATAATAATAATAATAATAATAATAATAATAATAATAATAATAATAATAATAATAATATATGGATGAAGCCATCCTGTACAGAAATTGTTTTATAAAATAACTGCGAAAAACAACGGTTAACCTTATTGAAACGCTAAATTTTATTGAACGTTATTTTATAACTTTTGCATCTCGTTTCTTTTATACTGTTAACTTCAGAGACGTTAAATGTTTTCATCGCCCCACAATTTAAAAAGCCCACACGAAGGCATTAAATATAAATTTTCCGTGTATGATTGCCTGATCCTGCACGGATATTAAGGTAGGCATATTATATTATTATACAGGGTGCATGTATAAAAAAAAAACTGAACAGATATCATGAATTTGCTCTCAATTTCGCAAAACAGCTTTTAGTGTCCAGTTTTTGATGTATATAACTTCTATGGGTACTTATAATGTATAATAATGGAAAACATTTCCCGAACTCAAATTTGTGAACCAGGGGGGTGTCTTTTCCAACAAACTAAAAATGGCTTGCCCACAAAATCTAAAAGCTTTAATCATATTTTGAGTTAATAGATGGAAAATTGGTTGGGTTTTTAATTACTGTACAAAATTTCAGACAACTTTCTTTAGTTTAAGCGCTTTAACTATTCACGAAAACTTACATCTTTCATAAAAATCAGCTACTTGCGTGCTTAATTAATGCTTTTGCCTAATTTGCATATGTCAGGTCAGCAATATGCAAATTAGGTAAAGGCATTAATTAAGCATGCGAAAGGCTAATTTTTTAGGAAAAAATGAATAGCTAAAGGGCTTAAACTAAAGCAAATTGTCTGAAATTGTGCACAGTAATGAAAAACCAAACAAATTTTCCATCTATTAATTCAAAATATGATTAAAGCTTTTAAATATCGTGCGCAAGCCATTTTTAATATATTGGAAAAGACACACACCCCCTGGTTCACAAAATTTGAGTTCGAGAATTTTTTCATTATTCTATAGTATAAGTACCCAAAGAACCTATATACATAAAAAAATGGATACTAATAGCTGTTTTGCGAAATTGAGAGCAATTTTAAATCTGTTCAGTTTTTTTTATACACACTGTATAATAATAATTCTTTCTGGATACCTGATCGGCCTGTTGATTAAAAATCTTGATTTCAACCGTGTTACTTGATTGATCTGAATTTGGCGTAACAGGAGTGGGAGGTTGGAACGATGTTTGCAGTGAGAAGAACAGGGTTGATTCAGACTGCATTGCCTCCGACTCAATCTTGACAACTGAAGCTAAGATATACTGAATTATTGGAGTTTCTCCACTGGGGTATTTCACGTAGAAACTGTAATCTACACTGTTACCACCAACATCAGATGGCGTTGCTGTCGAAGTACGCTGAACGTTAGCTTCAGTGAATGATGCTGTGCCTCTGTAAAATTAAAAAATAATTTAGAGGGCAATGTTAATTCTTGCTGAAAATGAAATTATTTCCTAGACATAGAATTTGCGGAATAATATAATTAGCCTTTCTTAATCCATCCAGCCATGAATTTAGTGAAGTAAAAAAGTACTATTGTTTATAAGAACTGTTTGCCTGACTAAGTTACTCCTTCACTTGTTGCCGTCCTCGGTTGCCGTTTGCTACCAGAACATGGTGGAGAAGGCCTGGTCTCATGGCGTGAGAAAAGAATAATAATATGCCGGTTGTGACTGAATATACGTATTGATTCACTAAATATTGTGTTGCGCTGACAATGGATATTTATGGATTGGGAAAAATGAAATGGGCACGTTGAAGTAAAACTAGCCGTTGTCATGACTGCCTGTTCGAAGATAGTCATGGTAGTGTCTATTCCTGGTTCATTATTTACAACAATACTGATTACATATATGCGTACAGGTTTCAGATTGGTGAATTGATAAAATCACTTCGTGATAGATAATAGACAGCATAGTTTAATTACCCTGTTTGTATTTGGCAGTCCACAAGGTGACCACCACAGTAGGTAGCAACACGACTGGCAATAGAATTCCTTAAGCGACGATCATTTAAGTACGTCCACTATAAAAGGAAACAAGTTAATATTTAGTATAATCAGGGTCGGAACTAGGGGGGTTAGGGGGGGGGCTGTAACACCCGCAAAGAAAAGCCAATTAAGGAAGGGGGCCCAACTTCCCCCAGAGGGAGTTCCAAAATACTGGAATTGCGGAACGTGTTGAATATTAAGGAATATTGTGACTAACTGAGGTCGAAAAAGCTCTGAAAAACGTATTTTTAACCCCCCTTTATCCTAACAAAAATTGTAAAAAAATTTTGGGACGTTTTATTTTCGCAAGAAAACGTCGACCCTCGTCGAGGAGGGCCCAAAAGGAAGGGGCGACTCAAAATTTTGAGCACGTCCCTGAGTATAACTTGTCTTCCACAAATTGTTTTGATCCGGGTAAAATGCAATTCAGTCCAACGCCGTTTGCATGTTTAAAATTGGAGAGCTTCGCCGGCTTATTCGGGATACAAATAATTGTTGGAGGTGAATTGATTTTAGTGGCTTGGCACGCTTTTTCCGCCCCGTTTGTCGAGTATAGGTAACAGTATTATAAACGCATAATTATTAAATAACATTTATTTTTTGGTGAGCAAAGAATGGTTTGGGGAAACCTTCAGGTTATTGGGTCTGTTTACTGGCAAAGTGACTATCTTTTCTGTCGGTGTAAAATTTTAACCTTTCTACCACTTCGTGTAAGATACACCCGCGAGCTGTCGCTACTGCGTTTATACTGTATCTGAAACATACCCGACTTGCATCAAACGACGATATACGAATGACAACACTGTTAGTTGTTTGGTCAGAAGTTGCTGCCGGTGGCGTAGCTGGTGCAGCAGAGGACTCGATTTGAACCTGCTGAGACAGTGAACTCTCAAGGTCCGATTCGCGAATCACCAGCATAGAAGCAAGAACGCTTTGTAGTACCACTGGGTCTGTATTATTACTTGGACGATTGACATAAAATGAAACTTGGACGTCTTCTCCACTCTGAATTGGATTATCTGGAAGACGAGCAATGTTATCGAGATCGAAGCTCTGCGAACTAAAAAAAACCCTCTGATTAGGTAAAAAGTTTCAACTGATCATGCAGAGAATTATGTAATATGTATTGTTGTTAGGCATGTACTCAGGTGAATATGATGTTTGTGATATTATTCACCTGATGAGTACCTAACAGCAACACACGCAAAAGTATCATATCTTAGAATACATTGATATCGAAGAAACTAGTCCTGAAATATCACCAGATTTTGATGCAATAGTGTGGCCCTTGAATTTCTGATTGCACCGAACTGGCTATAGTCTGGGATAAGTCCTATTGTGGCAGGGGTTTTTTAATTTTTAATATTTCAAAAGCCCAATCCCCTAATTCGGTCTATACACAGTATTTGGTGGTTTGCAGTAAGCCAGTGACATTTATAAGAAAAGACATGGCTGCCATATTGGCGGAAACGCATACTCCAAATACAAAAGCTGCTAATTATATTCTTTTGTTAGCGTTTCTCAAACATGATCGCTGGCCGGCATGTCGATTTGCACAGTATGTTATTGCTCAATTAATTCGGAGTAGATATACGTGCCAGACATCAAGGGTCGAGGTTTAGAAACCATCAAAGCATTACTGATGCTCTACCCAACCCAGATGTCTATCTCTAGTAGCAGACCCAACTCAACGTAGGAGAAGCACACGAACCACATCTGCATGTCATCCGTGCTTCCATGAATTTTCGATAGAAATATACTGTATGACTGTAGTGCGCTGTACTTGTACCAATTAAAATGTATCATTTAGCCAAAAATATTATTTATCCAGCATACTCACTCAGATAGACCACAGTCTTGAGTACGCGAATATGTATCCACTTCGCAATATCTGTTCAGGGTAACAGCGACTGCTCGCCGGAATACGGTGTCATAAAATGTTGTCCACTGTTAAAATAATAATAAAAATAAATGTAATTGTCTCGAAAAAACAAATATTCCGTTTAAATTTAAATAAAGTTAAACTGAGCATTGTGGTATATTATTTGAATCGGATTTTCTATCGTAACTAATTGCTTTTGTTTCAAAACTATACTAGAAAATACGTGCATGCAGAAACCCTCGCCTTGCTGAATTCCAAACATGAAGTATTGTCATGGTAACACGATAATTTTAAGAATAGTTTTAAAATTGAAAAATCACCCCCAAAAAACACTTTTAATTACAAAATGATCAATTTCCCAAACATATATATGCTAGGTATGTTATTATACGTATTAATATAAGCTTCAATTTAATGTGAAATTCGATCAACCACAGACGCTTCCAAAACGTTTTAAAATGTTCTTTTAAGAACATAAAAAACTAAAAGCAAACAATACATCAAATTAAAAACAAACTTACCTTCATTAACGCCGGCGACTTTGCTCCATTCTTTTGGACGTTTTCAGACGGTTCTTGGCTCTCAAAAAGGTTTTGAAATTTGCAAAATCTTGCAGAAACCGAGGCAAAAACACAATATATTTGCTGATTTGCAAGAAATGTTTGCTATTTCCCTGTCGTCATTTGTCATACAACAACAAATTTTAAATTTGACCAATCAGTGTTCGCTATTCATGACAGTCCGCCACATATTTTGAGATCAGTGAGGATGACCACCCAGTCAAATATATATATATATATATATATATATATATATATATATATATATATATATATATATATATATATATATATATATATATATATATATATATACATATATATATATATATATATATATATATATATATATATATATATATATATATATATATATATATATATATATATGTTAGTTGTGTAATTGTACACTCTGCAACATGCCAAGATGAAAATGTTCTAGAGTGTGTATTATATATTATGCAACATGCCAAGATGAAAATGTTCTAGAGTTCTAGAGTGTGTAAGTTGCAAGTCAATTTACCTACCTTTGAAATGAAATTTTCTCGCAAGAATATCTCTTTCCGTATTGTTTCTTTGTGCATCCAGGAACGACACAATATATTTGACAATTTTTTTCTGACAGCGAATTCAATGCAGTAAATTTTAGGAGCAAAACAGTTTGCTCCTACAATGTATTGCATTGAGTTGGCGATGTTTTTAATTTTTTTTCGTGATTTCGTTCAAATTTATGCTGGCCGTGCAACGGTTTGCAGAGGGGGAATGAAACTGACGTCCAATCGGCATAAACCTGACGTTTGAGGGACTGAGACTGACGTCCAATCCGCGTGAAAGAGTGGTATCGAGGCTTCATTGTTTTCACAATTAAATGACTGAATGTTATCGTTCCAGATATATATATATATATATATATATATATATATATATATATATATATATATATATATATATATATATATATATACATATATATATATATATATATACAGGGTGTATAAAAAAAAACTGAACAGATTTGAAATTGCTCTCAATTTCGCAAAACACCTAATTGTATCTGGTTTTTTATATATATAGCTTCGTTGGGTACTTATAATGTAAAATAATGAAAGAAATTTCTCGAATTCAAATTTTGTGAACCAGGGGGTGTGTCCTTCCCAACAAACTGAAAATGGCTCGCGCACAAAATTTAAAAGCTGTAATCATATTTTGAGTTAATAGATGGAAAATTTGTCGGGTTTTTAATTACTGTACAAAATTTCAGACAATTTGGTTTAGTTTAAGCCCTTTAATTATTCATTTTGTTCTAAAAAGTCAGCCTTTCGTATACTTAATTAATGCCTTTACCTAATTTGCATATTGCTGACATATGCAAATTAGGCAAATGCATTAATTAAGCATGCAAATAGCTGATTTTTCGAGAAAATTGTAACTTTGCGTGAATAGTTAAGGGGCTTAAACTAAACCAAATTGTCTGAAATTTTGTACAGTAATTAGAATCCCGACAAATTTTCCATCTGTTAACTCAAAATATGATTGCAGCTTTTAAATTTTGTGCGCGAGCCATTTTTAGTTTGTTGGAAAAGACACCCCCCCTCCTGGTTCATAAAATTTGAGTTCGAGAAATTTTTCTCATTATTCTACATTATAGGTACCCAAAGAGGCTATATATATAAAAAACCGGATACAAATAGCTGTTTTGCGAAATTGAGAGCAATTTTAAATCTGTTCAGTTTTTTTTTATACACCCTGTATTAAGAATAAAATGTTCTAGAGTGTGTATTATATAATTTCCATACCCAGCGCAAGCAGAAAGATGTTGTCTGCCGCGGCTGGGTCTCGAACCCGCGACCTTCGAATTACTACGCCCTATATTAATGCTGAAATTCATGCTAAATGGTGGGTCGAACCAAATGATATTACGTTGCCTATTTCTGCTTGCTTGCTTGCTTGAAGTTGCTATGGTCAAGTGCGTTTTGGTATGCAGGTGCAGATTCCATAAATGTTTGCTCATCTGATGAAAGCAGTGCAATGCGCTTGTTAATTGATGTAGGTAGCTTCCTTATAATGCTAGGTGGATGGTTAGAGTACCTATTTATGCATAGCGGATCGTCATTGGGCTTCCTATAGGGCCTAGATTTTCCGTTGTTAAGATCTAAAGTTACATCTAAGAAGTTTACTATGCGTAAATTTGATTCGGCGGTGATTATTAGGTCAAACAGCTCGAAAATTTTGTGGAGTTCTTTCCTTGTTTGTCTGCTAAACGTGCGGATTTACGTTTTATAAGGGCCAAACCGTCGTCTCTATATAGACCGATGCTTTAAATATTTGCCAAACTTCTTACTTAGGTGATTTAGGATGAAAAGGCCAACTAATCCACGTATTTCGGCGCCATCATGGCTGCCCATGGTAACGTCAAACAAACCTTCACTATCTTTTTTAGTCCATGGTTTTCCGGGGTTGAAAAGCAGAAATTCTCTGGCGTGTTTTATGATCAAAATATCGTTATCCGAAATGGTAGTTAAATTAGAAGCCCAAGATAATGCTTGGTCCAAAAGTTTTTCCGAAATGGATGGGTAAAAATCAACGATGTCAAAAGAAATAAAACTATATGTCTTTCTTTGTCTTTTATATTTCCAAACCATTCAATTACTTGTTTTGTATTCCTCCACTGGTTCAAATTCAGTTTTTGTCTCAAATTGGAGTTAATTTCATCTAAAATAATTTTGCTCAATTTTCCTGATTCGTTTTTAGCGGGATTAATTAGCCGACATTTTGGATTGTTCTCGAAATTTTCTTTGTGGTCTTTTAAAGATATAAATGCTTCACGTTTTTTCATTTTTTTAATTCTGTCGCCGATTCCTAAATTGTTCGAAATGTCTTTTAATTCAGAGTCAATTTCGTCTATAGTGTCCTCGGATCCATGTTTATATGTTTTTGTAATGTTGTCATGTAAGAGCTTGTTGTATGTGTCGAGCGAGGCTTCATAAATATTTCTAGTTTTGTCTGCAAATATGAAAATGTTGGGAGATGAATTGATTTTCTTCAAATCGTTAGCCAAAAATTTTAGAAAATGGTTTTGCCCTGGTCGAAATTGTATATTTTCAATGAGTTTTATAAGGTCGGTTTCGAAAGGTTTCATTTCCGGAATTAAAGAAGGTGTTTTGTTGGACGCAAGGCGAAACGGTTGTTTTGGTTTTTATTGATACTGTTTTTATTAAAGAAATGAGCTTTCCATCTCATACTTTTTATTACACTTTCCACTTTTTCAATCAAATTCTTCAAATAAGCGTCCTGCGATGGTATAGGAATATCCTTTAATGAATAGTCAAATCGAAATTGTCGTATTATGAAGTTAGTAAGAAATGAAAAACGTAAACTAGAGTGCATGACCGATATACGGGTGCGAATATACGAGTAGGTTTGTGTATACGAAACACAAAGAGTGCTCAATATCATAAAGATAGAGCAAATGTAGA